AGCAACAAGTCACATTTTTACAGGAGATCGCTTCTATAAATGTGGTTCTCTTATCAGATACAGATCAGAATGACAAAAGGGGCAAGCAAATTATCCGTGATCTTTGGCAATCTCAAAAGCCGTTGATCTGTCTTTTTGCTGAAAAAGAGAACATTGTGGCTGGTAAATCGAGTCAGAACATAAAAATAGCCATCAAGAACAGAAACGAGGCAGAATTAATAGATGAAATAACAGCAACAATCAGAGATTTTCTGGCAGGCTCAATTGCCACTTGTAGTCTTGATGCTTGTGTAAAAACTGCTCGTGAGCATGGCTTCCTCATTGATGAAGACAAGGAAGAGTGCAAGGAAGCCAAGTCAAAGGCAGAGGCATTGATGGTCCTCTTGAAAAAGCATAGCTTAGCAAGCCTGAAGGAAGAGCTATTGCCTCTTCAAGGAGAATTATGGCACAGGTGGTGTAAGAAAGATAAGGAACTTACCCGCTTGCATGATAAAAAGAACAGAAGCATTGAACAGCACCGCAGCCAAATTGAATCAGATAAATATGCAATACGACGTGATCAATTAAGTAAGGCATTCCCCCTCAATAACCTAATGAAGTCAGTGCTTGAATTTCTCCAGTCACATCCAGAGGCCACTAAAAAGTACTTCCTGCAATGGATGAAAGTGTTTATGGATGAATTGTCCTCTGACCGCCTTGTAGATCTTCACCAGAAATACCACAAATTATGGTCTGAAATATTGATAAAGAAAAAAGAAGAAAATAATTTGAAAACTAGATTGCAAAATGATTTAGAAAAACTCTCAGCCGAGATAAATGATTCTACAATTGGCCTTGAACACATTTTGAGAGAGGTAGGTCAGGTTTATGAAGCTCTGGATGCAATGGTCCAAAAGGATAAATGTTTTCTTGAATTACCTCAAATTGCAGCTGACCTGATGGTTTCAGGTTATCCCATCGAGCTGATGGACGGCGATGCTTCATACGTGCCATTAAAATGGGTCGGAGCAGTTTTTGACTCATTAATTGAGAAGCTAGGAGACAGAAAGGTGTTTGTTCTTTCTGTTCTTGGCATTCAGAGCACTGGAAAATCAACACTACTGAATGCCATGTTTGGTCTTCAGTTTAGTGTCAGTGCAGGGAGATGCACCAGGGGAGCATTCATG